TGAACTTTCCGACGAAGCATCCAGCCTACCCATCTGCTTTCATCTTAAAACTGGTAAGTCTAAATTGTTCACGTCTCCAATCTTGATTCTTCCTAAAAAGAATTTGAATTGTTAGAGATCCACTACGTACTAGCTGCCTAGGATTAGGGAGGGATTTGAAATTTATCCCAAGTTTTATTACATTAAACTTCTAGTTGAGGAGTTGTTGTCAAATTTATCACAATGATTGTAAATTTTATCCAAACCATCGGTTGTACAGGAGAGAAGTGTTAGGCTGCACTTTTCGTAAATTGCTTGATGCTCTGTTTAAAAAAAAAATAGATAACTTAGTTACTCTATTTTTTTATCGTGTATAAGAGTCATACTTTTGCTAAGGTCTGATTTTGAATTTAAGTTAAGAGTGTAAGTTTCCCTGAGCTCTTATTCATATGATGAAAAAGGATTTTACCCTTCTCATTAAAGTGCACATTCATACCAACGTAATTGAAATTTCTGATAGCAGACTAAATGACTAAGGGAGCAAAAGTCTTTCATTCTGTCATACGTAGACTTCATGAATAAAATATCAGAATCAATACTTTCAAAATTTTATGGTTGGAGATCCTTAATAAAAATTCATTTTTTATTTAAAGAAACTTTCGGTGGAAAAGTATTAGCCATTGCTGGAATTTTCTGAAATGATAGTAAGTTCTAATTAGGTTATTACATGTGATTAAAGATTTAAGAGGGTGTTTACCGGAAGATGTTATCAAGGTGCCACAATTATTTGAGTATTTTGAGTTCAGCTGTTATCTGGTAAGTTCACTACCACCTGTACATGTTTGTTCAACCAAATGAAAGAAAGAAGTCTGTTTGATTTTTAGTAGATGATTTTAGACTATTTGCTATTATGTGAGCTTGGTGAATTATTTGATGAGTTATTGTAATTGTTGTATTAAGTTATGTTTATTATCTGGCATAGTCAAGATTGTGTCAGTACTTTATTTCAAGATTTTAATGATGTTTTTACCCAAACGTCACTATAAAAAGAACTAATATTTAATGTGAAAGATCATGTGATATGTACTCGTGAATAAGTTCCCTCAGATTATCAGTTTATCAGTTTCAGAGAGTCTGATATTTTTAGTGGGTCACTCCCCTGAGCTGTCGGATTGGCGCCTTTGAGTACATACCACGGACCCACAGTTAAAATTAGCCAAAAAGAGTTTTACAGAAAGTTTATGAGATCCCTTTCAGAAAGTTTTACAGAGGTGTTGTGAGAAAGAAAATTTGAGATCCCTCCAGTAGTTTTGAGGAATTATTTTTTTAGAAAATATTTTTTTTGGGATCTCTCTCTGAATTTAATTGAGAAGCTATTTGTTAGTTGTTTGTTTAGTGCATGCTTATAGCCTAAATTTATCTATTGATAAATTGGCATAGACTTCTAAATATTTTTGTGGATCCATAGTGACTTACTAAGCGTAAAGCTTATCAGTTTTCTTTATTTGCATGTACAGATACTAAAGATAAGGCCAAGGCCTAGGAAGATGATGAGAGAGTGGAACGCGTGCCAAGATGAGTTAACGGGAACGACCTTGGCGGCTTGTGACTAGATATTATTTTATTCCAGTATTTCAGTTGTTAGAATAAAAAGATTATTATTACTTTATTTTATTTAAGGATTGAAGTTTGAATAAATTCCTAGATCCAGGTGGTTATCACATTTGATGGTGATAACTAGATTTTATTGAGTTCTTATTTGAAGTTATATTTTAGTTATATTGAGTTTTTATCAGGGTTATTTCTTGACCACAACTCTTCCTCCAATGGCAAAACAAGCATGGAGGCATATTTCTTAGACTTTAGCATAAGGCATATCTACCCATCGCCCATTCCCTCAAATTTTAATTTTATTCACTAACATATGCTTCTCTCATTTACTCTTTATTTCCTCGCATATTTCCTCTCGAGTGCTTCAGGGTGAGGTTTTCTTGGCCTCACGTCTTAATAATTTTTCTCTGTTCTTTTTTAATTAAAACAGTTCACTTTTCAAGTTTGTCAACGTATAAGTTTGATCATTAATATCTTTCATTCCTTATCAATAACAAATTTGAACATTTAACTGAGAAGTGAAATGTGAATAGTGTAAAAAATATAATGTTGTAATTAAAAAAGAACGGAGTGATTGTGTACACGTATATATTACAAATAGTAATAGTAGATTATATAAAATAATAGTCAATGTACTTGTAAAAAAATAATCCATAACAAGTTAAGTTAAATTGATACTAGCTCCGTCCCGTTGGAAGTAGGGAACTCGGGCAGGGTGGCCCGACCCGGAACCGGCCCGGGACCGGTAGTGTTCCGGCCCGGCCCGGTGGCCCGGTCAGTGACCGGTCCGGGTAGGCCCGGTCAGTGACCGGTCCGGGTAGGCCCGGTCAGTGACCGGTCCGGGTAGGCCCGGCCCGTGGGTTTTCCGGTCCGGGCTCGGGTCACCCAAAACAAGGCCCGACCCGACCGGGCCCGAGCCCGATTCAGGCCAAAAACTATTTTTTTTTATTTTTTTTAAATTTTCGGGTTGGACTGAGTATTTTGGGCCATTTGGGGTGGTTTGGGGGTGGGGGGTGGGAGGGGGGTTAATTAGGAAGAAGAAAACAAAAAAAATGATAATGGGCCCGGTCCAGACCCGGACCGGACCCGGTGGTTACCCAGGCCGGTCCCGAGTCCACCATTTCTGAACCGCCGGCCCGCCCAGGCCTAGGCCCGACCCGGACCTAGTGGTGGACTCGGGCCGGGCCAACCGGCCCGGAACCGGACCGGCCCGCTACTGTGCGGGCCCGGACCGGCCCGGTTTGTCGGTTAGGTCACGGTTCGGGCCACCCGGCCCGGTCATGTAGCGGTTCGGGCCCGGGCTTATAATTTGGTGAACCGGCCCGGCCGGGCCTCAACGGTCACAAAAAAAAACAAAAAAAAATTAAAATTTGAAGGCTCTACTAGCCGTTGGGAGACCTCCCAAACGGCTCTATAGCCGTTGGGAGCATAGGAGGGGGGGGTCTGGGGGGTTAGGGGGTGGGGTGGGGGTGGGGGTGGGGTATACAAAAAAAAACCTATTTATACTCCTATTTTCTATACATTTTTTACACCTCTTCTTCTACAACTCTTCCTACTCTCTAAAATCTAAATTCTCTATTCTCTTAATCTCTCATATTCAATCATCTTCATTCTTCATCTTCTCCAAATTCTTTCTACATATATATAATTTATATAATTATTATATCTACTTATATATTATAATATTAATTATCTACTTATAAATATATACTTATACACATTCATATTATAATTCTTACGCATTATATTATATACTATATATTGTTATACATTATATTATATATTACTTATAATATATTTACACATTATATATTTATATATACTATATATAGTTATACATTATATTATATATTACTTATAATATATTTACACATTATATATTTATATATACTATATATAGTTATACATTTGATTTATATATACACTTCTCGTTTATCTATTTAATTACTTAATTGTTTCATTTGTCATATTAATATTAGTTAAAGTAGTTAAAGTTAATTGTTTCATTTGTCATATTAATATTAGTTAAACTACTTAATTGTTACATTTCTCATATTAGTTAATTAGTTAATTGCTACATTTTTACATTTCTCATATTAGTTAATTGCTACATTTGTACATTTCTCATATTAGTTAATTAGTTAATTGCTACATTTTTACATTTCTCATATTAGTTAATTGCTACATTTGTACATTTCTCATATTAGTTAATTAGTTAATTGCTACATTTTTACATTTCTCATATTAGTTAATTAGTTAATTGCTACAATTTTACATCTCTCATATTAGTTAATTGCTACATATCTCATTAAAGTAAAAAAAACTAGTTAATTTTTACATTTCTCATATTAGTTAATTGCTACATATCTCATTAAAATGAATTGTATGGTAATGCACCCCCTCCCATGCAACGAACATCTTCTTCATCTAAAGGAAAATCACTTTTAAAATCCACTTTTGGTTCTCTTTTGAAAAAAAGTAGAGCAACTCCCGCTACTGAACAAAGCTCAGGTAACGAGCTTTCTTTGTATCTAACATTGAATGTTGATTATGAAGTTGGTGATGACTTTGACGTTCTTAAGTGGTGGAAGGAAAATGAAAGAACATTCCCGATTTTATCAAAGATGGCTAAGCAAGTACTAGCAATGCCGATATCAACCGTTGCCGTGGAACAAGAATTCAGTGCGGCCGGCAACGTCCTAACCGATTTTAGAACGAGGTTGAGCTCGAGCTCTCTTGAGACACTAGTTTGCTTTCACGATTGGTTGAAGGCCCAACGAAGAACTCAAGAAATTACCATCACTCCCTCCCGCCACTTTATGGAGGAAACAACCGAAGGCGGAGAGTCCGATTGATTTTTTATTACAAAATGTATTACATTTTTTAAATTCATCCTAATTCTCAATTGTACTTCTTATTTGAAATAAATATACTTCAATTCGAATATAATATATTGTAATTGTAATAAGATTTATTCTAATTATATAATAATTAAAAAAAAATTAAATAGGCCCGACCCGGCCCGTGAACCGGGCGGGTGACCTGAACCGAACCGGACCCGGGGTTATCCGGGCCGGTTCCGGGCCTGCCTTCCTAGAACCGAGGCCCGGCCGGGCCCAGGCCCGAACCGGCCCGAGTCCACTACTACCCGGACCTGAGTCCATCCCTAGTTGGAAGGTTCCCATAGCAAAACACCACGGTTATATAGGCAATAATTAAATAAAGTACTTCAAGTATATTTTGAGAAATAATTTTAATATGTATATATTATAATGTAGTTAGTATTGATAACTGTGATGTTATAAATGTATAATTTTTAGTATTTAATGATTAATTTGTCACTTAAGATTGTTAATTGTTTCCTAAAATGAAAATGGAAACCATCTAACGAAAGGTCCAAAATAAGGAAAGTGGGAACCTTCTAATGGGACGAGGGATTATGTTTTACTCCATGTAGTATATTTTTCATCCGGTTCTTACTAATTTTTTAACGTCTTAATAGCTAATCGTGAACAACTAATTTATGAAATATTTTACTTCAAGTTGCTAATCAAAACAGAATCTGTTGACATCAATGCACAGATAGAATCCACTATAAACTAAGTGAACTAAAAACTATCACTGATTGCCAAACCCTCTCATAGCATTTAAATTGAAAACAACGTTATATGTAAAAGTTCAATTATCACCTTTCTGCCTAAATTCTACTTTTAATATTACTATTTCCGTCGCCGTCTAGCTTCAACGCCGCCAAGGCCAATGCTTACCACCATAAGTCATCATCCTTGTGGCAATTATGTTTACATTCTGTTCCAGAGAATATGAACATCATTAGATAAACTCTATGAGCACGTACAAAATGTACTCCGTATAACACATTATCTCTAAAATGCATATAATAATGAGCAAAACATAGAAATTCATACAAAGCAGCAAAACTCTCCACCACAAACTCATTAGAAAATGATGAACTCATTTTTAGAAATTCATAGCTTGATAACTTGAATATTTTTAGTTATATCATTTAGTACGAGTGATGTTTCCATTAACTTACTTAGAGTTACTATGAGTACTTTTTGGGTTCATGAGTAAATATGTTTTCATTAAGGTATACTATGTCAATTGATCAAATAATATTGATACAACATTTCATCCTTTTCATCTTATATAAACTCATTTACCCTCTAACCCTCCCTGTATGTGAACTCTGGTTTTATCTTGAGAATTATATTTATAGGTGTTGCCTCTATATCTGCACTATGGTTTACACAAATGAAGTGCAATAATAGTACTGAAACAAGAGAGAAAAACGTGGACACTTCGTTAGCTATAATCATGCACCTGCTACTTAGAGTCGTCTGATAATTGGCTTAACAAAATAATTGGCTACAGACCAATCACATGAGCTTCTTTTCAACATATACACTTAGAACAGTTTGCATCTATAAAATAGTATTATGAAAATAGTATTATGTGGTTATGGCTCATCTAATTCTTTAATCTAAAAACCAGTGAAAGTAATAAAAATTTATGATCACTGAGGAAATTTGTACTTAGTCCTAGTGCAGAACAAATTCTTCACAAATTCCTCGAAAAAAAACGCAATCACACTGTTCATACCCTTGGAGCTAGTGGTGGACTCGGTTCGGGCCACCCGGCCCGTGACCCAGCCCGGCCCGCTACTGTGCGGGCCTGGAACCGGCCTGGTCTGGAGGTTCGGGACCGGGTGTAGACCCAAACCGGGGGGCAGCGGGGGGCGGGCTCGGTTCCGGCAAAACGTGACCCGGCCAGGCCGGGTCGGGCCCGGGTCCGGGTCACAACGGTTACATTTAAAAAAAAATTGTTTTGGGCCAAAAGAGCCGTTAGGCTTTGGGTTGGGACTACCCAAACGGCTATATAGCCGTTGGGTGGGCTGGCAGGGGGGGGTCCGGGCAGTTTGGGGGTGGGGTGGGGTAAAAAAAACTATAAATACTCCTAATCTTAAACATTTTTCCATATCTCTTCTCCAACTCTTCCTAAATCCTACTCTCTACTCTCTAATTAGCTTCATCTTCATCTTCTCAAATTTTCTTATTCTCCAATATATTATATATCTACTTATATTATTTATCTAATTATAAATACATATATTAAATTACTTATATTTCATATCTACTTATATAGTTATATACTATGTATTAATTATCTATTTATAAATACATATATTATATTACTTATATTTCTTATCTACTTATTATCTACTAAACACATACATATTACAGTACAATTTATATCTACTTTGTTCGAATTGTTAGTACATTTTAGTACGAATTAGTACATTTTATATAATACTTTGATTGTTAGTACATAAAGTTAGAATTTTATTTCATTAAAGTTAGAATTGTTAGAATTTTATTTCATTAAAGTTAGAATTGTTAAAATTTCATTTCATTAGTTCGAATTGTTTTTATAAATTAATATTTGTTACATTTTTAAGATGGAAGGTGGTAGAATTATTATATCTACCATTTTTAAGATGGAAAGTCAATATGCCGTTATCGCGTATTAATTTATACCCGATGACCGGGATGTTGTACGCAACTTGCAAATGGTGCGGAAAAAAGTGTAGCTTGGGGTTTCACGCGGATATGGGATGACCAAGAAGCATATTAAGTCATGTGACAAAGCCAATAGACCGGGAAATTCCGATTGATTACAAAATGTATTTCATATTGTATTTTTTTCTCAATTGTCAAATGTAGTTCCTATTTCATTTCAAATAAATGCACTTGAAGTTTGTTTTTAATACTTGCATAAAACTATAAAGTATAAATAAGTAAAAAATTTGGATTTAGCCGGCCCGGCCCGGCCCGGCGGGTGGCCCGGCCTGAACCGGAACCGTCCTTACCTCGGGCCGGTCCCGGGCCCATCAGTTACAAACCGGAGGCCCGGCTCAGGCCCGAACCGGCCGAGTCCATCACTACTTGAAGCTATGAAACAATATGGGTATTGTTTGGGAGTTAGGTTTTGGAGGGGAGGTGAAGTGTAAGGAGAGTTTATGACCATTCCTTTCTTGTCTGGGAGTAAAAAATTGAAAAAGATGGTTTTGGAGGGTTCTTGTAACCCTCCAAAGCTCTTCAAATGCTTAATTTTTATGTTTGCCCAAATTGGCGGTTTTAAGGAATAACTAATTAAATGATAACTTCGGCTGAATTTAAAATTAATACAAGTTCAATTATTTGGATTCACCATATCTTTGAAGCGATTTTAATTATAATTCCTCCATAGTCAATCTCTTTCTAGATTTGCAACTCCCAAACATGAAGAATGATTTTTCTCATTTCCCTTCCCCTCCTACGACTAACCTACTAAGCTATCCCTTCCCCTTCCCCCAAAACTCTCAAACATACCCTAAGAGTCTTTTTATAATTGAGAAAATCCAACAGAAAGAAAATATGGAAGAAAATAGAGATAATTTGCAGTAAAAGAGCATTCGGTGGAAGTAAAACAAGATTGTTCAAACTCGATAAATCAATTTAGATGTTTTTCTCAACTCATTTGTTTAATTGTTTATATATATCACTATTACTATGAATACATGGACTAATAAATCTATAAGCATACACGAAGTGTTTTGATTGTTGCAGTTGGTTTTCCTTCATATGATAAAATCAAGCATTATAAAATTTTGTTTTCCTAAGCATTTGTGTCCTATCATTTTCCAGGTTTCAAACATAGATTAAGGTACATGCCCACATATGCTATAAGCGTATCAAAGGAAAAAAAAAAGTGTGATGGTATTATTACCATGCTTTCTCCCCTTAGAGCAATGCTGCATTCCTCAAATTTGCTACTTGACTCCATTTTTACTGTTCCATAGCAAGGCGCGCTGAGCGCCTAGGCATGGAAGATACTCCTTCATCTACTTGATTCTTTGAGAAATTCTTTGTCTTCTGTTGTTCTTGTTTCTTTTCATCAAGTGAAAAATATGGAGAGATGTAACTGGCAGTAGCAGCTGCCATTTTCCTAGTGACAATTCTTGTTGCCGGTGCTGATGAAGCGCTTTGCACAACATTCTTCTCTTCAGAACCTACCATTTTGTTTCGGTTCATGTCATGGATCAATTCATGTTAGCTGACCCCAAAATCTTTCGGGAATAAGGCTTGGTTGTTGTATGTATGTATACTTTCATACCAATGAATGACAAACATCATGTCCAATTTAAGTGACAACTTAATTTCTATGACACATATTCGGAAAGTTACCTAGATTAACAATCACACTTTATCTAAACCTAACCAAGCCAAACAAAGAAATTTTTTTATGATCACATTTGACATTCGTGGTTAAATATTTTCAACTCTGATAGATAGGGTATCATATTTTCATGCAACATGACTTCTAATGTGAAAGTAATACGGAGCACAAAAATGTTCCTTGAAAGAATACTCCAATGAAAAGTATTCCTTCTTTATTTATGAAGATGATATAAAACATTGGGCAAAACTCAACACATTTTGAACACAGAACTGACAGAAGACAAATGAGGCCTACTAAAGTGAGATTATTTCTCATTGAAGGTAAACTAGGAAAAATACACTATCTTCAACAGTTATAAAGGAGTAAGAACCACCGAAGGAGTAAAGATGTAAAGAATATAACAATTATTTCTGCATATAGAAACATTCATAGATTTACCTGGTTCTATTTTTCTATCAACTTTTTTTATTGCTGGCAGTGAACAAACCCTCTGCAAAACTCTCTGCACTTCAGTACCTGCGATGACCATTTGGTGGTCATATATAGTTGCATATCTATGACCATTAGGTAATTATATTCCATGATTCTTTGTAGATTTTTGGAAAAAGGACTTTCCGGTTTGAAATTATGAAGGCTATGCTTTGGAACATGGAAAATGGTAGGGAAAATGAAAAATATGGTAAAGAAAATAGTTTTTAATGATTGGCTTTACCATGAAAAACAGAGGAAAAACAAATTTGAACATTAAAAAGTCTACAAATATATCTAGATTTCTTAATCGTTCTGTAAAATAGAAATATTTAAATATGACACGTTTGAACAAAATATTTTAAATTGATTCATTCAGGTTGACATGATTCATCCCTAGTTCTGTCTTTACTTTCCTAGCGTATTGTGTTTCCCTAAAACTTTCCAGGCTCCAAACTGATCCCAAGTGGTTATTCTGAAATAGTTTTATGTTGGGGAACATTCCTGAAATAGGAACAAACACGTTTTGGAAATACACAATAGGGATACCATGTTTTTATTCCCTAAATAGGAGTAGTTATTGCCAAGTATGGAAAATACCGACATGTTAAAAGCCTGGTAATCCCAAAACATGAAAATAATTACTCCTATTTAGGGAATACAAACATAATAATCAAATTTTGAAATTTACAAACAATTTTACTCCTATTTAGGGAAATTTCTTTTTTATGTTTTTTATTCTTTGGATCAAATATTATTTATACGTAGTATATTGAAGTATAGAGGAGCTTAGTTTCCACGAAAACATCTTCATGGAAAGCAATTTCCTCATAGAACTTTTCCACAGAAAGTTATTTCCCTACAAACAAGTGAAGCCTTAGTTGTAAACTCATATTTCTTGAAAATAAAAGATTTGAAGATTTACCTGGCTCAATCTTGGGAGTGCGAGACCTTAACTGTCTATGATTTGGTTGCTGAAACTGTGCTTGTTGTGTTTCCACCATGGGAGCTGCTATCTTATTCTGTTGGAATTGAAAGCTCATTATTTCATTATCACACTCAACCATTTGTTCTTCCACATGACTATGATGATCTCCACAAGCAACTATTTCTTGTTCATGTTCACAATTCGCTTTTGTTCCAGTTTCTTCGGGTCTGTTTGGCACCAGGGTATTACTAGGGGAAAAAGGAAAGATAATATTGAGAAAAATTAGAGTCATATGATATAATAAGAGGTAAGAAAAAAGATAATCTAGACCTTATTAAAATTTTAGAAATAAGTGTCTCTTATTTATTTATTTATTTAAGCCTGTTTTATACAGACTAAAAATCTCAACATATGTAAAAAACACCGGGTTTAGAAAAAAGAATATGTAAAGAAATAAAACTATGTTTCGTTTCCCTTTTCATTTTCCACCAAACATAAAGAAAGTATAACATTTCTTGACACTTCCTTTGCTCTCATTATCATTCTCTGTAATCCAAACATACCCTTCATGTTTCGGGATCTCACTGCAAAATATAGTGGTCTTCTGAAGAGTCTCCAGTCTTTGTGCAGGTTGAATCTTTCCTCTGGATCTAAGGCACCTTCCTGCTCCAAAGTCATCAGTTTTTGGAGAAGCAACCATTTCTATTCCCCCGTTCTGGGAACATTTTCTGAAAACTCTATTCTTCATTTGCTTCTCTATTTTAACTCCTGATTCTTTTGCAGACGTGTTGGTCTCATTAGCTAAATTTTGCTTTGCAGCCTGATCTCCCAGATTTTGTACAATTAAATGTGTGCTACAACCCTGATCCATTTTGTCTGCTTTTATAGTCCCCGGATTATTGTCTTCTTTACTTTCTTTCTCAGCTTGATTTCCATTCATAGCCTCTACTTCTGCAATATTTTCTTCCATTAGAATCTCCTCTTGATTGCACTCTTCTTCCATTGGCACCACTAATTCTGATAGATTATGTTCTTGCAATCCCATTTTATTAGCTGCTTCTGCATTCAAATCTGCCTCTAATGGACTGTCCTTAATCTCCAATACTGATAGATTTTGTTCTTTCATCACCTCCTCTTCTTCTTCTTCTTGTTCATTTTCTGTTTCTATCACATCACTTGTTGCTCGCACGACCGCATTTTGCTCCTGTGTTACTACATCCATGGGGACCGCCTGTACTTCCACTTTCTGCCACTCCATTTGCTTATCGGTTGCTTCAATAGCATTAATTGCCACTTCATCTGAAGAAGAAACTTTTTCTTTCATCTTTAAAATCTTGGGGGGCCTACCCCGAACCTTCCTCTTTGGAATCAAAGAGATATTTTTCTTCATAGCTGCTTCTGAACTCATCTCACTTTTTCCCTTTGATTGACCAATTTGCCCCTCTCCTAGTTGACAGTCGGTGTTTTCCAATCTTGTTGGACTCGGTCCTTTCATCATCTCATTTTCTTCTTCTCTTTCATTTTCTGCTTCTATGATATCACTTCTTCCTTCTACCACTGGATTTTGCTCCTCGGATCTTACACCCGTGGGGACCACCGATACTTCCACGTTCTGCCACTCCATTTGGATATTTGTTCTTTCAGTAGCATTAAATGTCTCTTCTTCCAAAGAAGAAACATTTTCATTCCAATTTACTTTCTTCCGGGGCCTACCCCTAGTCTTCCTCCTTGGCTTCGTACCGATGTTTTCCTTTGTCGCTGTTTGTGAATTTATCTCACTTTTTCCTTGTAATTGACCAAATTGCCCATCTGCTTCTGGTTGACAGTCGGTGTTTTCCAATCTTGTTGGATTTAGTCCTTTCATCATCTCATTTTCTTTTTCTCTTTCATTTTCTGCTTCTATGATATCACTTCTTCCATCTACCACAGGATTTTGCTCCTCGGATCCTACACCCGTGGGGACCACCGGTACTTCCACGTTCTGCCACTCCATTTGGATATTGGTTGTTTCAGTAGCATTAAATGTCTCTTCTTCCAAAGAAGAAACTTGTTCATTCACATTTACTTTCTTCGGGGGCCTACCCCTAGCCTTCCTCTTTGGCTTCATACGGATGTTTTCCTTTGTAGTTGTTTCTGAATTCATCCCACTTTTTTCTTTTAATTGACCAAATTGCCCATCTGCTTCTGGTTGACTGTCAGTGTTCTCCAAACTTGATGGATTTAGTCCTTTCATCATCTCATTTTCTTGTCTTTCATTTTCTGCTTCTATGACATCACTTCTTCCTTCTACCACTGGATTTTGATCCTCGGATCCTGCACCCATGTGGACCACCGGTACTTCCACGTTCTGCCACTCCATTTGGATATTTGTTGTTTCAGTAGCATTAAATGTCTCTTCTTCCAAAGAAGAAACTTTTTCATTCCAATTTACTTTCTTCGGGGGCCTACCCCTAGGTTTCCTCTTTGGCTTCATACAGACGTTTTCCTTTCTATCTGCTTCTGAAATCATTTCACTTTTTCCTTTTAAATGACCAAGTTGCCCTTCTGCTTCTGGTTGACTGCAAGTGTTCTTCAATCTTGACGGTTTTAGACCTTTTATCATCTTCTGTTCTTCTCCTTCATTTCTTATTCCTATGATATCACTTCTGGCTTTTACCACCAGATTTTGCACCTCTAAACCTACATTAGTTGGGACCGGCGGTACCTCCACGTTCTGCCAGTCCATTTGGTTATGTGTTGCTTCAATAGCATTAAATGATTCTTGTTCCAAAGAAGAAACTTTTTTGTTCCACTTTTCTTTCTTCGGGGGCCTACCCCGAACCTTCCTCTTTTGCTTCAAAAGGATGTTTTTCTTCTTGGGTGGTCTTCCCAGTCTCTTCTTGATACCCACTTTCTTTAATTTCCTCTTCCTCTTTCTCCGTTTTCTCATTGGGGAAACACTGGTAGTGCTATCACTGTCAGGAGAATTCGAGCTCGGGTCTAAGCTAAGGCTACAAATGGTACTGTTTAAAGTGCTGTTTGGAATATGCGGGATGAGGTTATTTTGGTAATTCAGCAAATAAAGTCCATCTTGAGTCCGGACTATATCACCCTTCTCACAAAGCTTCGTCAAATGGCATTTAAGTAGAGTTGAGTGGGCCCATGGCAACTCGGGGTTGTCACTCATTATACACTTTGATATTGCACACTCGCTTGAACCGCCTTCCTCTTTTAGCTTCTCAATTGCTGTTCTAATCATCTGCCATTGTTGAATCATGTCAAGCCAAGAACAGGAACTTGCACAGATTTGTGAAGGCAAAACCATTTCTTATACTAAATTTAAAATAAATTATCACAAATTATGATGACCAAATGCATGCTAAGAAACTAACAATGACACACATAAGCAAAACCATAATGGATGACTTAAAAAATATGATTATACTAAATGGTTTGGAAAAAAATAGTTCTTATCTATGATTCTTGTCCCAAACAATTCTTTATTATGAAAATGTGTATTTAAATTTTTTAAAACAAATTAGCATAATAAAATAATTAGACCAAATGTGGTATCGGATAGGGCGCAGGATGGCACCCCCTATGTACGCCCTTGAGTGAGTGAGTGGGTGTCTGGAAAGTCCAAGTAATGAGAAAATATAACTCACATTTATCTTGTTTTTGCAAGGGGGTGATTTTTAACCCTAAACCTTCAAATGAAGAGTATATCTGTGATCATATAGCAATCACCCTTTATTCGTTCCGAAAGACATTCTATTTTAGAAGATATAGACTAGGCTTACCAAAGATTTCCCCTTTAAACCCTTCATCCAAACAAGCTCAAATAAGGCAATGACAATGAGGCTCAAGATAATGATTGGACACTGTTTTCAAGAATTTTCTGGTTGGAAGTTATGAACCCATGACAAACAGATATTAAAGTTAATAGAAATCGGGAAAGAAACCCCAGCAGTTAACAATCCCTCCTTTAATAGCATATAACAAGATATGAGGAAGAATGCCAAGCTTTTACTAATCACCAGCGAAACAAGATATGAAATACAATATCAACTCAAAAGATTAACATACAAACACAAAACCGAAGAACCCATTTCCAAATAGATAAACAAAAGCAGAACATTTAATAGCTAATGAGATCAAACAGATACTTGCCCAAGCGTAAGGAGGATGATCAGGAGCTCTGAGAAGAGGGAAGCACTGACAAAGCGCTTCTTCAACGACCGAGCTCTGCGCCAGGGTTAGGGTGTTGTTTCCCAGAGATGCAATGACTGCTTTCATCATAAGAGATCGGAAGTTTTGCATCGCAGATTTGCTGTCGTCGTTGCGGTATTGGGATCCGGAATCTCCTGTTACCGGTGGTATTCCCGGCGGTGGCTCGACTGGAAGATGTGGCGGATTGAGGCAGTCCATTTCGACTCAACTTGCTAATTTACTGCAGAGTATTACTCCGTAGCAGCTGATATGACAATACTCGATTTAGTCGCACATCACCAATATACTACTCCCTCCGTCCCAGTTTTTCTCCCATTTCGGCTGAGCAGGCTAAGATACTGTATTTTGTGTGGGGGAGAGTTGTGCAGAGGAGATAGAAATGTGTAAGAATTATTGTGAATCACAAATTCTTTGCCAAAAAAGAAAGGAGGAGATAATTTTGGGACGGACGAAAAAGAAAAGTTTGAAGATAATTCAGGGACGGAGGGAGTATCTAGTCTAAATTTATTCCTCAAATTTGATTATTTTTTTCAAACAGTTTTCATTTTATTTGCTTTTCAATTTTTATTTTTATTCTAATTTAGAGTTTGCAATTTTAAAGAGTGTTTATTGTAGTTTATGAATATGTAAATTTTAATTATTAAAAATTGAGTTAATTATCGAAAAAGGGGATTGACTTTTATTATTGTTTGACAAAAAATGTTCACTTTGGGACGGACGAAGTATCATCCTTCAATTCGACAACTTAAAAAAAAAGAGTTACTCTTCTTGGTCTTTCTCGATTTCTAATCATCTTCTTAAAAGATAAAAGGAGAAACACATGCTCCTATCTCAACGACCCAAACCATGGGTACAATTTCGTACTTTTCCCAATAAAAAATTGACAAGACTAATTCAACATTTAACTGAGTTTCTCATAATAATCTCACAATTACGTAATTTCAAGAATAATCTCACTTTACATCCTATCTTTTTTTATTGAAACTGAGCGGTTGATGGCCTAAAAATAGGTTTTTTCTTCTTTAGAGATCTTACATAAATAATCTCATCTTTCACAATTCTGATCAACACAATCTCACATGTTTCATTTTCCTCCTTAAAAATGTTCTATCTTTATTTTTATCCCTTGACAGTTTTTAATTCCTTTTTCATATTGATTCCTTTTGTTCTTGTTTCTTTTTCATATTAATTATTCTATCTCTTACTCTATTGAGAGAGTTGTTTGTACAATTTCCTTCCCAAATAGATTTTTTGTCATTTTCTTTTTCTTTCCGTATTTTTTATTTCGTTTCCCTTTTTATGTTTTTCTTCTTAATCAATCTCTTTTTATTAAAGATCTTTTTTCTACTCTACTTTTTTGTTATGTTTTCTGTTTCTTTTCATTCTTCCCCTTTTTTTCTTCTTGTTACTTTTTTATGTTTTTTCTTAATTCCACCATCAATATATGTTTATTCTTTCTGCATTATCATATATTTCTAGGTAAGTCCACCCATTAATTCCATCAATTATAGGAAAACTCTATGTAACAAAAAAAAATAGAAAAACATAAAGTTGAAAGAAAAACAAAACATTCGGAAAAATGTAAGAAAAATAAAAAACATTCGCGAAAATTAAAATTACATTTTCCCAAATGTTTTGTTTTCTTTAAATTTTATTTTTCTCTAATCTTTTTATCACAAAGTTTTTCCACAATTGATGGAATTAATGGGTGGATTACTTAAAGAATATGATAATGAAGAAAGGATAAAAAATATATTGATGGTGAAATTAAGATAATAACAAGAAAGAAAAGAAGAAAGAAGAAAAGACAAAAAAAGTAACAAGAAGAAAAACGAAAAAAGTGAAAATGTGGTGCAAAGGTGAGATTATTCTTAGATTACGTAAATATGAGATTATTATGAGTAGATCGGTCAAATGTGAGTTTATTAACGGTCTCATATTCGTTTTTGGAATTTTCCCAATACCTTTATACCCTCACTTTTATTACCCTTACCCGTTTTTACATTTTACATACCATTTTCTCTTTCCTAATTTTTCTTTACTTTACTTTTTTTACATATTCTAGGTAAAACTGTCAATTTGGTCCTTGTACTTTCATGAAAAGTCAATTAGGTCCTCGTACTTTTAAAAAAATCAATCAAATCTCTAAACTTTGTAAAAACGTTCAATTGAGTACACTTGCAGGTCATTTGTCATGTCAACAGATCACCCGTTGACGTGGTGCACATATGGCGGTCCACGTGTGCGCCACATCATCACCAAATGACTGACTGGACTCCCACACATGCCGCGTCAGCAAAAATATTGCTGATTAGGCTGACATGTGTGCGGCACGTCAACGGGTAACCTGCTGACATGGCAAAGAACCTGCAAATGGACTCACTTGAACGTTTTTACAAAGTTCGGGGATTTGATTGATTTTTTTAAAATTACGAGAACCTAATTGATTTTTTTCATGAAAGTACGAGGATCAAATTGACAATTTTCCCTATATTATGTTTCCTACTTTATCAATCACCCTCTTTTGAGGCTTGAACAAAATTGTTCTCGAGTCTGGTGGTATCCATCGAGGGTGGCTTCCGGTTGATGGTTATGATGTGGCAAGAGTTTATAAATTACGGAGTAATAATTAAAATTAAATTTATATGATAAATAATATATAGTATATATTAAATATTTTTACTGTGAGGGTATATTTAGTACTCTGCTCTACTTTTAGTCTAATCAAACTTGTAGTTCTTTTTAACCCCTATGTAGAAAATTGAGGTTAATTTTACTCTTATTTGAGTCATCATCATTACCTCAGTGCCGCAAAGACTTCCACCTACGGAGGAGTAAGGGTGATCGGATGTACGCACCTTTATCCATGTACTAAACTACAGAGAGACTGTTCCAAATGATCTGTGGTGAAAATCACTTCGAAATTTTTACTCTTGTTTGGATAGCTCTATTAAATCCACATCAATAAACTAAAAAAAATTACCTTTATATAACTTCTTCATTTATAAGCATCGCTTTCTGTGATTTTAGGTTCACATTTCTAAATTACTTTCCAAGTTTTTCTAATGTTTGGTTATATTTAACATAAATGGTATCATAATTAATGGACGACATTATTATACCCTAATAACATTTAATTATCTCTAGCCAGAGTATCATTCAAAATCATGCCAAAACTATTTGAGTGGTAAATTACACTTGTTAGCGTAGTTAACTAAATTAAACAAGTTCTGTTATATATCATACTCAGATTATACGTTATAACCTAATTGATTCAAAAGGAAATAATTAGGATATGTAGCCATTTTCCATGACATCATCAACATATGCTTTAGTTAAAGGCTTGTTTGGTAACGATGCAACTGTTAAAACAGTTGAAAAGACTTAAAAGACTGAATCAGGTGAAGTGAAAGTGTTTGGTAATATACTGATTGAAATAGCTGATTGAATGTAAAATTACCTTAAAAAGTATGTGCTTTTTTTGTTAATATATAAGTGTAAAAAGAAAAAAAATACTCGCTAGAGGAAACCTATATTATATTCCCTTTCACATCTTGATAATTTTAATTAAACCCTAATTATCCGAGCTACAATCTCTAGACTGCCTAATTTAAAAAGAATTCAACCAATTTGATAATTGTGCAGTAGGATTAGTACCTGGAATTATAAATTTGACTTTATACAGCATGATCAAACAACTCTAGCAGCTTATTATCACTTTGTATTATACTCTTCATTTATATCCTTCCTATTATTTGGTATTATACTCTGTTATTAGAACTCTTAGAGCTAAACCACAGTTCGGTTACAGAGTTGATTTGTCGAAGATTAGAAAACAATCTAAGAATCCTTCTCACAACATCTATTTATGAACAATTAGTAATAATCACTATGGAACAAAAACACCAATAATCGTTTTCATATATTTCAGCTAGAAGGGGGACATGGGAAGATGAAGAAGAGAGAGCAATATGGAGCAGCTGAGCAAGAAAACTTCTCAAAGTGAAATTGGACGTGAAAAGTGTGAATGAACTAAATAGTGGGCTTTAGATCCGGAGCAACCGAAGAAGAATGCAGATACTATGTATAAAAGGACAGAGCAGTAGTCATTTAATTCATCAAAGGTCGAATAATAATTTTCAGCTGAAAAAGTAGCGCAAAATTTACTCCCTCTTTCTCAATTTGTTTTGTAAAGTCAACATTTTTTTGTCAACCAATATTAAAAGTCAATGCTCTTTATTGATAATTAATTCAATTTTTAATAATTCAAATTTACATATTCAGAAACTACAACTGCTCAACAGAGACCCTTTAGTCAAATTTGTGAAACCGGATGACCTAGTTACTTTTAGAAGGTCTTTTACCCTTTCACCCTCAAACGTTATTACAGCCGCAGAACATTTACTGCGCCCCTTTTTCATATTTTGGTACCTCGAAACCGCCAATAATCTCAAACGTCCACTAACCAAAAGCCTTATATCACTCTCTCTTCAAACCTAAACCGCTACTACTCTCATTATTCTCAAATCCTTGAACTTCCATTTCTCTCAAGCTCTCAAAACTTCGGAACTCTCAACAATGGCCTTCATCAACATCAACGACTTAACTTCTGAGGAACTCAACATACTGGTTGCTAACATCTACACTGGGATGAACTGCGACCTGTCCGCACTCCTGGAACTTGCTGCAAACCAAGAAACGATGAAGAAAATCATCCAGGGAATGGAGGATTCTCAACTCAATAAGGTGGTAGGATACTCTTTCAATTCCTACAGCACCAAGGATGTGGTTGAATTCTACCACAATGCTACATTCGAAGGAAATACCATCCGGTCACACGTCAACGATGACGACATCACCCTCACCCCTGACACCATTAATGCCCTATTTGGTGTGAAGGAGGACCCTCAAGAACAAGACACTGAAGGGTTCATCGCCTTAGATGATGTCCAGATAACTGTTGAAGCCTTCGTACAGAACTACTGTAAACTGGAAGTTGAAAGTGTTCCCAAGCTGAACATGAAGAAGAATCCGCTTCAAAGTGACTATGAGAAACTGGTGAACATCTTCCACAGGTGTATCTGGAGCAAGAGCACCTCTACTGACGACATGACTGTCCAGAATGCAAAAGTTGTCTTTGTTGTTCACCATGGTATGAATGTCAACTGGGGACTGGTAATTGTTAAGTCCTTTGTTGACTTCATCAAGAAGAAAGACAAGGAAACAAATTTCTTCAAAACCCTTATGGGTTATGGCCTTTTGCTCTCCGAACTGCTTCTCAAAACAGGAACAGGGCTGAGGAACCCTATTGAGGCTGATTACACCAAGCTTCTTTTCC